CCAGTGGTGATTAAAAACCGCCAAAAGAAAGCTCTATCTGTCCCCCAAAAAATTGTATAAAATGTATTTCAGTACAGCGTTGTATGACGGAATAAATGTCAGTCCAAGGACCGCAGCGCTGAATACTGAAAAATGGCCAGGACAGGGAGGGGGTCTAAACACCTGGTATTAAGCACACCACAACCCAAATTATTTTGGAAGACTTGCAGTGAATGATGAACAAAACCCCAGCAGAAGCACCGGAGTTCCACATTTGCACCTTCCCATTTTCTACACAAATTTATTTGCGGAGACTCAAATAGTTATCCAGCGAGTAACAAGGGAGTCCAGGACTTAGGACACTGCAAACCTGACTCCAGCCAAGGTCTGTTCAATCATTAAAAAGGAGAACTATGAGGGGAGTGAAAATCACTCATCCTCATAGTTCGAGCCGACCTGTGACAATTAAACTGTGACACTTCGGCTCAATAGATCGGAAAGTGAGTGAACACATAGTCACTCGCTCACTTCTCGATCATCTCCCTGCAGAGAGAGGTGACTGTCACTCACGGCTCACTGCAGGGATTCCCCCCCTCCCCGATCCTCCAGCGCTGACTGGTGGAACGGATGGAGGAGGAGGGGGCGGGTACAGCTTGCTCTGCCTCTAGATAGGCAGAGCCAGCTGTCACTCACGCAGCTGGGTGGATCTCTACAGCATTGTCGGGATCCGTCCTGGCTGCGGCAGTCTCAGTATACTGCGAGATGTAGCTCCCTATATACTGAGCTTTGGGTCAGGGGAGGAGGTTAGTTTAGGTCCTCCTGTGACCTTTAAGAGAACTATGGGGAAAAGCACTGACCCATAGTTCTCCTTTAAACTGCAAGAGTGAAGGATTATGGGAAATGTCAGCACCCATACAAGGGAACCATGAAACTTACAGAGATTGCGGTGTTTGAATCCAGCTGGTACTTGGCTCCAATGCCAAAGTGTGTGTTATTGCTTCCTGCACTCCAAGCCAAACTCACAGAGGTCTCCACATCCTGATTGACCTTCTGATAGATCGATCCTCCAAACTCAGTGCCGTCATTCCTGGATAATGAAGAACCAGAAGACCATCATTCAGCACAGACATTACAACTACAAAGGTTCATGATCGGTGTTCAGACAGATATGTCATCAACATGCATAGCACAGGGTCCATTATACAGAGCTCAGCGTTCATTATCAGTGTATAGAGATACTCGGGATCATTATACAGAGCTCAGCGTTCATTGTCAGTATATAGAGATACGCGGGGTCATTATACAGAGCTCATTGTTCATTATCAGTGTATAGAGATACTCGGGATCATTATCAGTGTATAGAGATACTCGGGATCATTATACAGAGCTCAGCGTTCATTATCAGTGTATAGAGATACACGGGGTCATTATACAGAGCTCAGCGTTCATTATCAGTATATAGAGATACTCGGGATCATTATCAGTGTATAGAGATACTCGGGGTCATTATCAGTGTATAGAGATACTCGGGATCATTATCAGTGTATAGAGATACTCGGGGTCATTATCAGTGTATAGAGATACTCGGGGTCATTATCAGTGTATAGAGATACTCGGGATCATTATACAGAGCTCAGCGTTCATTGTCAGTGTATAGAGATACTCGGGATCACATGTAGGATGATAGAATACTCACACGTTTGTATGTAGCTGGAAGTCTTCTGCCATGTAGCCCAGGGCAAAGTTATTCTGCGCCAATCTGGATTTGGCAGTGTCGAAGGACACCTGGTAGCCAGCCATCCAGCCTTGGTAGCCCAGGACTCCCCAAGCAGTGACGGTAGGACCAGCCAGGTCCAGGTCAACGTCGGCTCCCAGATTGGCATAGTCTCTCTTGTAGGAGGTCTTCAGCTTGGCACTCTTCTTGCTGGAACACACATAAATGGTAAATATATTGCACATCGCCTTTACTTGCTCACAATACAGACAGCCGTCCTGTGCGCTCTGCAATTCTGTATGACCCCGTGACACACATGAGCAGGGCTTGAAAAATCCACTCGTCTGCGACGAGAGGACGGAGGAGCCCGACGAGCAGCTTCCCGGCCGGCCTGCCAGCCTCCCCAAAAAATGTGAACATAAATTGCAAGGCTTTAGTCCGGTCATGCTGACTGGTGAAATTTTTGACTGACTGGGGAGACACCCTAACATTTTTTTCAAGCCCTGCACATGTGTAATGATTCAGACCGCCATCTGCCTTTTACATGTAAGTGAACGTCCCCATCAATCTGGTCTCGTCACTTAAAGAGAAACCTCCCTTTTATATCTTCCAGGAAAAGCTCCTGCAAACTGCACCCCATTGACAAGTCCTCCCATCCTTTAGCTGAAAGTCCTTTCCTCTGTATTTACAGGGGCTGAAAGAGTCTGCAGGAGCCAGAGCATTGCGCCCCCAATCCATCGATCGCGGCTGTAATGCTTTAAAGGCTCAAGTGCAGAAAAACGAATAAATGCGCACTTTCTTTTATTAATACAGTCATGGCCAAAAATATTGGCCCCCCTGCATTTCTGTCAGATAATGCGACACTTTGCACAGAAAATTGTTGCAATGACAAATGTTTCGGCATTCTCATGTTTATTTCTTGCGTTTGTATTGGTGACACAAAAAAGTGGAGTAAAAAAAAAAAGCCAAATCTGACACATTCCGCGCAAAACTCCAAAAATAGACTGGAAAAATTATTGGCACCCTCAATGAATATTTGGCAGCACAGCCCTTGGAAAAGATAACTGAAATCAATGGCTTCCTGTAACCTCAATGAGTTCTTACACCTCTATACAGGAATTTTGGACCGCTCTTCTTTCACCAACTGTTCCGGGTCTCTCAGATTGGAAGGTTCCTTCTCCCAACTGCTGTTCTGAGATCTCTCCACAGGTGCTCTATGGGATTCAGATCTGGACTCATTGCGGGCCAGTCCAGTACTCTCCAGCGCTTTGTCTGAAACCGTTTCTGGGTGCTTTTTGACGCATGCTTTGGGTCATTGTCCTGCTGTAAGACCCATGACATCTGATGGAGACCCAACTTTCTGACACTGGGCCCTACCTTGCACCCCACAATTCTTTGGTAGTCTTCAGATTTCACAATGCCATGCACACAGTCAAGACATCCAGTGCCTGAAGCAGCAAAGTATCCCCAAAACATCAGTGACCCCACCACCATGTGTGACTGGAGGGACTGGATTTTTTTATTTTTCTGAAAACAGTAGAATGGGCGACTGCACCAAAAAGCTGTTATTTTGTTTCGTCTGTCCACAGCACATTCTCCCAAAAGGTTTTTGGCTTCCTCGGGTACGTTTTGGCAAACTCCAATCTGGCTTTTTGATGTTTCTGTGTCAGCAGTGGGGTCCTCCTGGGTCTCCTATCATTCAGATGGCGACGTATATTGCGAGCTGACACAGTTGTACCCTGTGCCTGAAGGTCAGCTAGATTTGTGTGGAAGTTGATGTCGGGTCTTTATCCGCCATTCCAACAATCCTTCGTTGCAATGTTTGATCAATTGTTCTTTTTCGTCCATGTCCGGGGAGATCAGCGCCAGTGCCATGGGCTGGAAACGTCTTGGCAATGTTATACACAGAGGACACAGGAACATGAAGATCTCTGGAGATGGACTTGTAACCGCGAGATTGTCCGTGCTTCTCCACAAAAACTTGGAATGCAATTATTTCTTGCAATTTGAAGACGGTGCCAATAATTTTGTCCACTCCATTTTTTCAGTTTTGCGTGGAATGTGTCAGATTTGGCTTTTTTTTTCTCCACTTTGTGTCACTTTGTTACAACAATTTTCTGCACGAAGTGGCGCATTATCTGACAGAAATTCAGGGGTGCCAATATTTTTGGCCATGACTGAATGTGCATTGTTTTCACAAAAGACCTTCTCTTGTTGCCCACAGCAACCAATCATTCACCAGCATTGCTCTGGAAGAATGGAAGAGGGAACCAATGGATAACGACAGTCTTTTTTTGCAAACATTTGGACACACAAGTGAGATGACGTAACGGAGAAGTATCAGAAGGGGTGCCACTCACCCAGTATTGGGTACGAATGTACCATCCAGTGTCAGCTTCAGACCCTTCGCCAACTGTAGACATAAAAGACAAGGAAGACATTAACCCCTGGTACCCTGTCATGCTTGTCCCCTCATGAGACAGACATGATTGTAGCTCACCTCGTTTTCCAGGGACACTTCAGTCCCCAAGGTGTTGTCTGTGTTCCACTTCTGGGTAAAGGTGAGTCCCGCATCGGACAGTTTGTACTTAGTCTCCAAGTTGCCAGTCGCCTTTCCTGTTTCAGTGTTTGAAGTGCCGCTGCTGATGAACTCCTAGAAACACAGAAGGATGGAGAGAAAGTTACTCGGGACTGACCTGCAGCCATGTCTGAAGTTTTACTTATACTACAGTGTGCAGTAGAGCTGCAACAATTCATCGACTAAGTCGATTATAATCGATGATGGAAAATGTTGTCAACACTTTCTATCATCGATTAGTTGAATTTCGATTAGTGTGGCCTGCGTGCGGCCACACTAATCCTCTCCTCCCCCGCACGATTCTTCTCTCCGCACGCTTCTCCTCGCCGCGACACGTCTCCTCCCCGCACAACACGATTCCTCCCCGCAATACGGACACGCCGCTTCTCCTCCCCACCTCACAGACCCGCGGCTGCCCGCCCATCCACGATCGGCACAATTAAGGAAGAGCAGGCATTGGGGGGGTGGGGTGGAGGAAGCTGTATTAAACACTTCCTGTCAGCCAAACACTGAAAGACAGTCTCCTGGATGCAGGTGGGCGTCTTTAGACGTCCTTCGTGCCCGTGCCCGCTTGTGAGCGCCAGGGGGCGCGCGCGAGTGGGAAACCGCCAGTAATTTAAACGGCCAGCGATGGCCGTTTACATACAAGCGGTCCGGCGTCTGTAAAGACGCCCGATCGCTTGCATGACGCAATTCTTCTCGCCGTGATCCCGGGCGTCCATCTATCCCGGGCGTTGTGACGGCTCTGTGCACTGAGAACGGAGGGAGTTCAGTACAGATCTCCTCCCGGTCTCTGAATGCAGGAAGTGATGTATGCTACATCACTTCCGCATTCCCCTGTCACTCTCCGGTACAAAAACCGGAGAGAAGCTGATGAAGCAGATCTCTGCTTCATCAGCTTCTCTGGGGGTCCCTTGGTGACGTTAGGGGTCTTAGAGACCCCTGATGTCTCCATAAAGGGGACCTGCCCCTGTAATTGGTTATTACATAGGGGACTACTTAGCACCCTATGTGATAACAATAAAGTTAAGTGTCAAAGAAAAAGTTTTTTTTAAAAATTGCTCACAAAATAAATAAAATTTACACACACACAAATAAAAAAACCACAAAAGTTTTTTAAAGTCCCCCACCCCCACATAGATGCGCAAAAATGTGTTTGGTGTGCCTACATGCAAAAATGACGATTGCGCCCATTACGCCGCACATGTTACATATCGCCGTGAACGTTGCAGTGAGAGCAATAATTCTAGGGCCATCAATCACTGATAACACTAAACTGAGGAGCGGTAAACTCTTTTAAAGCGTCGCCTATGGCCAATTTTGGCTAGGATAGTTTTTTGCGATTTTGCGGGCGTGTGCAATTTTAAGGCCTTTTATATTTTACCAAAAAATTGGGTAAAAAGAAATGTTTCCTAAAATAAAGGGAAAACCGTTTTTTGCTTTTTTTAAAAATATTCAGTACTTTTTTGTTATATAGTAAAAAAATTAAAAACCCCCCAGTGGGGATTAAATACCACCAAAAGAAAGCTCCATCTGTCCCCAAAAAATTGTATAAAATGTGTTTTCAGCGTTGCATGACGGAATAAACGTCAGTTGAAGTACCGCAGCGCTGAACACTGAAAAATTGCCTGGACAGGAAGGGGGTGTAACACCCCGGTCATCAAGTGGTTAATGTATTGCTGGGGATAGTGGAATTTGTAGTCCTCTATAGCTGATGGTACATTGTGCTGTATATGTACCATCAGCTACAGAGGACTACAAATCCCAGCAATACATTAAGCGCAATGCAGAACAACACCAGCTAAAGAGGACTACAAATCCCAGCAATAGTACATTATAGTATAATGTACTATGGCTGCGATTTGCTGTATTCCTCTATAGCTGGTGTTATTCTGCATTGCGCCGCTGTATAATTGTATGTATTATATTGCATTGCTTGCTCCCGTGATGGACTACAATCTCAGTACAAACTAGTAGTCCATCACAGGAGCCATTGTGTTTTTTTTTTATCCGATTAATCGAACTCAATAATCGGCTAACTAATCGATTTTGAAAATAATCGTTAGCTGCAGCCCTAGTGTGCAGACACTTGGAAACCGTCCACAATGTCACCGGATATATTGCAGACTTGATTTCATATTTTCAGCTAAGGAAGACAATGCAGGAGACATCAGAGCAATGGAAATGGCCTAGTCCACCTTTTTAGACCACGGTTCATGTTACACCTATATTGAGGGTATGTCATGAAACATGGTCACACTCCCCAACCCTCAAACCACCCCCTACATTACCTGAATCGCAGGGTGCTTCTCTCTGCAGAAAGGTGTTGTGGTTTAAATTTAGCTGAGCTGTGCTTGGCTCTGTTCGATGATCGTCATCAATACTACAAGTCCCATTTGCTGTACCTGTGCACTGCATCCACGACGCACTGATTGCAGGTGCAATGCTCTGCAGGACTCAATGCAAAAAGGTGGTAAATGCAGCAACATTGATTTTATGATCTATGTGCAATTACTACTTATTTTGACATTAAGAGCCTGCAGAACGTTGCACCTGCAATCAGCGTGTGGTGGGTGCAACTCACAGGCTCCCTCAATGTTGACCTCTAGCATTGGGTCTCTATGGAGGTATAGACCTTTCTAAATTAAAACCAATGTGATAAGCTG